GCAAAGGTATCTGTGTAATGCATTGAAGGAGTTTCTACCTACTTCAGAGGCACCCACAAATTTTATTGATTGATTTGAGAGAGAGAGAGTGAGAGAGAGAGAGACAGAGACAGAGAGAGGAGAGAAACATCAATTTGTTGTTCCACTTATTTATGCATTCATTGGTTGATTCTTGTATGTGATCTGATTGGAGATGGAACCCAAAACCTTGGTTTATCTGGATGACGCTCTAACCAACTGAGCTACCAGGCTAGGCCCACAGCATGATTCTTTTGGAGGCTCATGGCATGATTCTCTCTCGTCATTGATGTTTCTATCTCTCTCTCCCTCTCCCTTCTTCTCTGAAATCAATAAAAATTTATTTTAAAGAAGTTTTTGTACATATATAAAATAAAATATTAATAGAAAAGAATAAAAATTAATAAAAAAGAATGAAATCTTACTATGGATGGACCTAGAGGGTATTATACTAGGTGAAACAAGTCAGACAGAGAAAGACAAATACCATATGATTTTACTTAAATGTGGAATTTAAAGAACAGAATAAATGAAAAAACAAAATTGAATCAAACTTATAGATAGAGAACAAATTGGTGGTTTCCAGAGGGGAAGGAGTTTGGGAGACTGAGTGAAAGAGGTAAAGGGACTGAGAAGTACAAATTGGTAGTTACAAAATAGTCATGGGCATGTAAAATACAGCATAGGGAACAGAGACAACAACTTTGCAATAACTATGTATGGTGCCAGATGGGTACCTGAAATATCGGGGGACCACTTTGTAAAGTATATGATTGTCTACCACTATGCTAAACACCTGAAACCTATACAAAATAATATGGACTGTAAACTGTAGTTGAAAAATAAAATAAAAATAAAAGGCACTCTTCCAATTAAATTTTGAAAGCTGTATTTTTTTAAATTTCTCCTTGCCTGAAACAATAGTGCAATGAATCTATCATTGGTTTGGAATATGTTATATATATTTGCTTATTAAGAGACATTAGCCCCTATGCTACTGTCTTGTGAAATGTTTATAGTTCCTGCAGTGAACCTGTGTTAAATGAAATAGTGGCAAAAACAAACTCAGTTTCTGAGCACCATTTTGCCACCCCAAACAAACACAGGCCTCGTTTTCCCTCCAGGCCAGTGTGAACTGGGAAATGTAAGCTATGCAATTGCATATCTGAGTCACACATTGTGAAGGCAAACATGAACCTTGCCTACAACGCCATGGACATAAGCAGTGGGAGATATAAGTAGTGGTGACTCTCCAGCTCCTCAGAGCTCACGCCACTTCCAAAAGTTACCCTTATCCATAGGCGAGTCCCAGCAAGGGTGTGACGGAGGCTGAGGTGGCTTCCACGGTCATTAGGCGAGAGCTAAGGGACCAGAGGCCCAGAACCAAGCTCTCTGGAGAATTACAGTTCAGCTCCCCAGAGAACAAATGAGGCAAAGCAGATAAAGACACATCTGGATTTGAAGCTAACCCCTTGACCTATTTCTTGGCCAATGACTTCACCTCATTCAGCTTCAGACTATGCGCTCCTGTCTGTGGCAAGGTGAAGGGGCTTTGTTGTTTATTTGTTTTTTGTCTTCCTTCTCTTTGATTGTTCCCAATCTCAGTGCTGAATGGGTCCAAGTAAGGAAGAAGGAAAAGCAAAGCTTTGTGTGGATAACTGCACAGTCCTGATGTTTTGCTGTGAGCATGGTCATGTTGGGAAAAGGAGGGTCTCTCCTATAGATGTCCCTCAATGAGGGTGCTCCTCTATGGACCTAGTAAAGGTCTGGCAAGCCCTTCCCAGGACAAACAGGACTGAGACTCAGAACACTGAGGACCCCACAATGCTCACCCCAGAGGCAACCAACCTGTTGGGGAAGTACAAGGGTGGAAAAGGAAGAAGATTCTGAGTGAAGAGGTAGACTTGAAAAAGAAGAACTGCTCAGATGCCTCTGAGCCAGTGGGCTTAAAAGTTCTCAATGGGAAAAGAAATATTTTACACCATCTTTTTGCTCTCTTCTGCTCGTTTTCTTGGTAATGAACAGTTCCTGTACATTCTTACATGTATTGTGACTTTAGTCTCTTATTTCAGAGGGAATTAAATGCTACAATGTATGCAAAGCACTGAGCACAACGCCTGGCACATGGTCAGCACTCAATACAAGTCAATGCCTATGTCAGAATAAAAGAAATCTTGGTTCTTGTCTGAGTCCTACCACTGATGAGATGTGTGACATCAACACTGATTTGGGCTTGATCAATAAAAACGAGAAGCTCTCTAAGGTCTGTTTTAGCTCTCATGTCTTTCTGGGTCTGGGGTGCCAGGCTAGGAAGATGGTGGTGGAATACATCAACAAGATTAGAGAAGAATTTTTTATATGATCTTGGCTGATGGGAATCAATTAGTTCCTGCTTTGAGTTTCCTCTAAAGGCACCAAATTCTGAACCTGGAAAACCCCAGGGGTGAGCTCTTCTCCTTCTCCTTCTCCTTCTCCTTCTCCTTCTCCTTCTCCTTCTCCTTCTCCTTCTCCTTCTCCTTCTCCTTCTCCTTCTATTCTTATTCTTATTCTTATTCTTATTCTTATTCTTATTCTTATTCTTATTCTTATTCTTATTCTTATTCTTATTCTTATTCTTATTCTTATTCTTATTCTTCTTCTTCTGTAAATAAGTGGGCCTATTCCTCAAATATGTCTCCCCATATAAAAATTCTACCAATTAAAGATCTGTTTTTAAGAATCCTCTCTAAAATAAAAATGTTCTAGGCAAATGGTGATATTGTATATTCTGATGAGAATTGACTCAATCACATTGACTTTTTTTGAATTTTTACCTGACATAAGCCACATTTAGGAAATGGGGCCTTTGATACTGGGATAGAAAAGTTGAGGGGAAATGTAGTAGGATGAGGGAAGGAGAAAAGAGGTCTGCATGGGTACTGTGGCTCTTGGCATGAGGAAGGAGGCCTAGGGACTTCCTCAAGGGCTGTATTAGAGTCCTGTGACTACTGTAAACAAATTACTACAACCTGGGTGGCTTAAAACAAAAGAAATTTGTTCTGGAGGCTAGAAGTCCAAAATCAAGGTGTCAGAAGGGCCATAGGCCTCCTCTGAAGGTCCTAGAGGTAAGGATCCTTCCTTACCTCTTCCAGCTTCTGGAGGCTCCTGCCATTCCTTGGCTTATGGCAGCATCACTCCAACCTCTTTCTCCACTGTCACATGGCCTTTCTTGTGTGTGCCTCTGTGAGTTCTCTCTTCTTATAAGGAGAACAGTCATTGGATTTAAGACCCACCCTAAATCCAGGATCATTTCATTTTAAGATTCTCAACTAATTGCATCCACAAAGACCCTATTTCAAACAAGGTCACATTCTGAGGTCCTAGTTAGACATGATCTTGGAGTGGGACACTCTTTGACCACTACATGAGCATTGTAGAGTGGGAGCGAGTGGAGGGAGGACTTATAGGTAGGAGGTAGGTGGTGCTGGATAGGAGACAGAACAAGCTACAAAGTTAAATGTTTTCTCTAGAACTGGTCCTTTCTCTTCTTCTCTTATCTGGTGAGATGTGTCTTATTCTTTTAGAAAACTAGGCCCAAGGGAGCAGGAGGTGGTACCTGCAAATGCCCTGCTATGGGGTTGAGCTCTCTTCCATTCCTTAGACCTGCAGTATAACTGAAGAACATTCTCTCCTCAGCTTGCCTCCTCACCCTCCCCCTCCCACCCTTCCACAGCTCCTTCCTTCAGAGGGACCTGATTTTCAGGAGCTTGGGAAGGCTTCACAGAGATTGGGCTATAGATTGTTTTGAATGTGATAGCCTGGTGTTTGAAGTTTTGTCCAGGAAAAAAAATCATTAGTGGTATTCACTCATATAAATGGCATCCTCTAAGTCAGCGGTTCTCAACCTGTGGGTTGCAACCCCTTTGGGGGTCGAACGACCCTTTTACAGGGGTCACCTAAGACCATCGGAAAACACATATATAATTACATATTGTTTTTGTGATTAATCACTATGCTTTAATTATGTTTAATTTATAACAATGAAAATACATCCTGCATATCAGATATTTACATTATGATTCATAACAGTAGCAAAATTACAGTTATGAAGTAGCAACAAAAATAATTTTATGGTTGGGGGTCACCACAACATGAGGAACTGTATTAAAGGGTCGCGGCATTAGGAAGGTTGAGAACCACTGCTCTAAGTGTTCTTGTTAATTACTGGCATGACTTCAACGCATTTGGACCCCTCAACATCTCTACTGAGTGCTGTTTTGAAATTTTCATCTTTACATTCAAAAGCTTGGATCTCACAGGCTCATCAGTGCAACTTCTTTGTGGGCAGTGGACAAGCCCAGGGTTGGAGTGTCGAACTATTAACATGTTCCACCAGCCAGGCTGAATGCTCCTATGTAGCGGAGCTGAGTGCTGTCCTTTATGTAAATGTCCGATCCACACGGAGATGTCCTCTGACTACTTTCATCTTGCTCAGATCTTACAGGGCCCTTTTAAGGTAGGGACCAGCTCTATCAAAGAAGTTAGCCTCCTTACATCAAAAGTTAAAATTCTGATAGAATCCTGAAATTTTTTGAGACAAAAAATTTCCTAGTTGGTCCCAACCATACTCTGACCTCAGTTTGATTGTGCAATAGCCTTGAGGTTTTTTTCTTTCAGTATGATAAAAGATAGGCCTAAATACAAAGAGGTATTTTACAGGATACTGGGGTTTCTTTTATAATCAAAGGAAACCAACAGCCCAACGGCAAGACAGCCAGGATGCAGCTTCACTTGAAAAACTACAATGAGAGACCTGCATATCACAAGGATCTGTGCTTTGTCTATGCTTTTCCCTGTTTGACCTCATTTTCACTACAAATTTTGTGTGAAATTTTACATCTTGCTGTTTCCACAACTAGAACAAAAATGACTCACTCTCTCTCCCCTTCTCTCTCTCTCTCTCTCTCTCTCTCCCCAAGGTAAACTCAAATGCCAGGAAAAGGCTGTGATTGGCTCATCTTGGGCAAGGGCATCACTCCTGGATCCAAGAGCTCTCAGTTATCTGGAAAAGTCACTTTCTGCAGATCGTCTCTGAAATTATATTGAGGTCTTTCACTGTCGCTAAGTCATCTCCTCCTTTATGTAGTGCAAATCTTGGAAATTGATGCTTTGAATATGGTGTTTGTTTCCTTTGACAGAACCTTTCTGGAATAAGTGGAAATCTCCATCTGCTATGCCAAGTTTATTAAAATGGGTCATATTCTGTTTAGGATCCTGTGTTAAGTGCTATTGTGTAAAGAATATTTAGTGAATGGGTAATCTATAGATTTAATAAGCACTGTAATATTGTGTCTACCAAGAAAATCTCTGTTCTATTTTAAATATACCTTTTATTTGTTGAGGAACTAAAGCTGAGGTTTTAGGGGGGGGAAGTTGATAAAAGCAGTTCTGAGCTATGTCCCCATATTTTAAGAATAAGAGTACGTGCTTGTAGTACATGTCACCATCTTAAAAAAGACAAAGTATTGGCAGCTACAGAAAACAGACCAAGTTCTACCATTAGGCTCAGCTTTGTTGCACTAACTCATCACTGAATAGAACAAAATTCTTTCCTTATCCTGCTCTTTCTCTATTCCTGGTTCCTTGCGGGTAACTAGACTTCATTCAGGAATACTTCTTTGAAGGGTAAGGACAAAGGCTGAAAGACTAAGCCGAAAACCTGGACCTCTTGCTGGGATATAATGCAGAGGGTGAGACTTGGAGGCAGATAGGCCTGGTTTCAAACTGGGTTTAGACTTGACCACTTACTGTGTGATATTTTAAAGTTTTGATGTTCTCACTTGTAAAATTGGAATGATATCACACAGGGTTGTTTTGAGGATAAAGGAGACTATGTGAAATCCTGGGTGCATGATTACTTGGCAAGAGTCCTATTTGGTCCAACCAGACTCTGACCTCATTTTTGTTTCTAGGTCATCTGAGTCTCTCTTCTGGATGCCCTCTTCCCCCTCCCCCAGCCCAAGGAGGGTAGATGGGCATTTAAGAAGAGCCACACTTCTAGTGGCATCACTTTCCCCACAGCTTCCTTCTGCTTTGTTGTTTTTATATGAACACCTGTGTGGCTGGCCTCACACAGGGAGGGCATCATCTGATACGAGTGTCCACCTGTCCTGCATGCCCTGGTTCCCCGTCGAGGTGAGAGCAGAATATTGTTCTCTTTTGAAAGCTATAACGTGGTTGGTGCTCACGTTTTCCTCTCTCTCATCTTCTATATTTACTGAGCGTTCATTCCATACCCCATGTTCTTTGGAGAACACTTCTTAGGAGGAGGCAGCAGTGTTCATGTGAAAGCACCAGCACAGGCGGAGGGGCACTGCTCTGTGAAGTGAGGGGACTGGCTACTCCTACCCAGGGCTGGCTTGGTCCCTGGAGGGTGACAGGAAAGAGAATCAACTGTTGATCAGAAATAGTTCCACATAAACACGCAGGCAACAATATCCTCATCCAAGAAATTGCTATGAATGTCAAGTGCATCATATTTTCTGAGGCAAGATCAGAGACCAGCCAAACTCGAGGCCATGCCAATAGAAGGATGAAATATTACTGTTGTTTTTCCTGCTCATTAATAGCCAGTTTTTGTGAGACAGCATTTCTTCTAATGCTAGAAGGAAGCAAACATGTCTTTGGCCTTTGCTGGCTCTTACAACAGAAGAGCCCAAACTCATTCCGATGGTGTATCTCCATGATTTTCAACCAGTGATCTGCAATAATTTTTAAAACATGCAATACCTGACTATTTAGTCAAGGGCACTGATATTTTGACAACAGCTAACACAACAATAGCCATCTGGCGTGAATGAATTAAAAGCATACCTATTTTTTTGTTCAGATCAGCGGAAAATATATTTGTAATATAGTTCAGTAATAAAATATTTTAGTAATCAGTTTATCTGTGCCATGAGATGAAGAAGGTTGAAAATTGCTGGGCGATCTATATCAACATAGATGCCAGAAAGAATGCACAAGGCAGGACCTGGGTTGGATGAAGATGAACTCTGGAAACAATGTGGTGTTTGGGCCTCCTGGATGGTCAAGAATCCTGCCCTTTCCAGGGTAGCTGAAGGAATGGCAGTGACCAGCTGCCTCTGGAAATTCTGATCTAGCTTCCTGAGAATTTGCCCGACCTCTATGGGCAGCCACTCTACCCCCAGTGGTGCTTCTGAGCCTGCCCTGTCATTTGCTGAACGGTATTTCATTCCAGCCATGGACTCAACCAGGCCCAGGGCCAGGGGCGGCCCTGCCTCTGTTGAGAAGAGTCAGGAATGCTTTCCATTTAATCCCGTCTCAGATAACATTCAGATGCTTTAAGCCATAAACATAAATCCAATTCTTCCAGGTCTAATGTGTGTTTGGGTTTTAATATAGAGGATGGGAGCTATATTTCATTATTGGCTTCAACAGAAAAAGTAGGCAGTAAATATCTGTAGGACAAAGCCTGTGAAGCCATTTCAAAGCCTATAATTGTCTTGATAATTAGGGGGGAAATGGAGTAGAATTCAATAAAATGATAAGGTAGAGTTTTTAAATTCTAAAGACAATATTTGAATTGATAGTTATAAATATTGTTCACCTTTATTTCTCAATTAGCAAAAGGGAAGAAAACCGTTTCTGATTCCTTCAGATCTGGACCATGAATGAACAGTCATTTCTGCCACAGAATAAGACTTGTTTCTCAGGGACATTAATTGTGGTAAACCCACCCACGTATGAGTTTGCCCAGAGCACCACCTACTGAACAGACTGGTACTACTGCAGAAACCTGAGGGAGGGATATACATGGGTCTAAATTTCTTGTTAAGAGAAATAAAGTGAAAACCCATTTTTGTCTCTAGTCTTTAAATGATTTTTCTAATATATTTTCTAACATATATTTTGCCTTAGTAAATACATAATAGTGAACATAACCAACCATTTCTCAGGCAAGTCAGAAGCAGATGGTGCTGTAAGGTCTTCCTCTTGAGAAATTGGTATTGTAGGTTGGTAGTGACAGAAAATGTAGAGATCGTCACAAACTATTTCAGCCTTTGTGTCTTTCGAACAAGTATCTTTGTTTTTTTTTATTTTACCTCTTAATGACAAAAACTGGGTGCAGAAAAGTTCCATTAAGTTAATGGAACAAGTTATAGGTAGTAGTTAATAAAGTGGTGGATATATAGAGTGTCCCCAAAAATGTATACGCACACTTTGAATAATTATAAAGGCAGTATTTATTAAAATACATTTGTTTTTAAAATTGAGCTATCAGCTGTTAAGTGTGTATACATTTTTTGGGATACCCTCTATGTGTATGTACATGTCTCTGTGTGTGTGTCTATATATGTATACACATACACGTAACATTCAGCGTGTACGTTGCTACCTAAACCGCCCAGCTGTGAGGTTCCCGGGGGCAGAGGCCCCTGCAAATGGGCATTTGTCCCCTCAGTGTAGGCATAGTGCTCGTACAACTGTGGATTTAAAGCAGTGGTTCTCGACCTTGGCTGCACTTTGGAATCCTCAGGTGAGCTTTCAAAAACATTGATGCCACGATCCACCCCCAGAGACTTATTTAATTGGTGAGTAGACTGTGCTTGGTATTGGGAATTTTAAAAGTTCCCCAGATGATTCTAACATTCACTCAATGTTGGGAACCACTGATTTCAGGAATGAATTCTCCAGTTGCAGAAATAGCAGTATCCCTTCTCATAGGAGGTAAAGGGCAGCCAGAAGAAGGAAGTGGGTAACACAGAGGCCCCTGGGGATTGGCCTGGAACCACATGGCAATGTGAATGTTCCTACCAAGTTGCCTAGTGTAAGAGTAGAGCATTGTGGGATTTTTCCTGGCCTGTAATCACAGGTAGTTGAGATGAGTGAAAGAGGTTGAGGGTGTTAGGAAGTTCCAGGAATAGACCTCATCTCTGCTATTGGTTTACAAACTATCCCACGAACAAACAATTTGCAAAAAGGGCAATACATTAGTAAAGAACATATGAAAAATGTTTATTTTCAGTAGTAATCATGAGTGAGAATGAACATTTCCTCCCTCTTAATTACAATAACAATTATTTTAATTATAGTCAGTGTTAACAGGGAGAAAGTGAGAATAATCTTTAATTGACTAAATTTATTCTGCATCTCAGTTAGGCACCATGAATCGAGGACAATAAAAATGTTCTTACATCTTTTAAAAAAATTTGCACCTGAAGATATGTTTTTCATTGAGTTTGGAGAGAGACAGTGTGTGTGTGTGTGTGTGTGTGTGTGTGTGTGTGTGTGTGTGTGAGAGAGAGAGAGAGAGAGAGAGAGAGAGATCTGTGTGAGAAACATTGATCGGTTGCCTCCCATATGCACCCCAAATGGGGATCAAACCTTTAATCTGGGTATATGCCTTGACCCAGAATTGAACCCACCACCTTTTGATGGGCAGTAGGACATTCCAACCAACTGAGCCATATTGGCCAAAGTTGTCCTTACCCTTTGACTCCATAATGTCTTTTCTGAGAATCTGGTTTAAGGAAATAATTCACAAGTTGGGAAAATCTACATGGACAAAGATGTTCACCATGGTTATATCCAATAGTGCAATATCAGGAACAGCCAAAGTACTAAATAACACAAGAAATGTTAGAAAGGTTATATAGGAGATATATCCATTGGGTGGAATATTGTGCAACCATTATAAGAACGGATGCAACTGAAAATGCTGCACTTAAAAATATTTATGCTCTAGTGCTAAATAAATTATGCTATAATGCTCTTTGTAAACTATAATTTCAACTGGGTTTTGAAAAAGTCACCTGGGACATCTTCAGTTCCAAAATATTCCTCTCCTAGAGAGCTGTTATTCTGACACACCAGACACTTGTTTCCTATATTGATTGGTCTATAATGGCTGTTTTGTTTTCAGCTCTTTCATCTAAACTCTCTATATCTTTTTAAAAATATATATTTTTATTGATTTCAGAGAGGAAGAGAGAGAAAGAGAGAGAGAGAAACACCAATGATGAGTCATTGATCGCCTGCCTCCTACTTGCCCCCCACTGGGGATCAAGCCTGCAACCGGGGCATGTGCCCTGACCAGGAATTGAACCTGGAACCCTTCGGTCCAGAGGCCAATGCTCTATCCTTTGAGCCAACCTGGCTAGGGCTAAACTCTCTATCTTTTGCAATAGCTCTTGGTCATTTTCATCAGAGGATACTCTAAGTATAGACAATTTTTTATGTTTAACTATCTATCTTGTACTTCCTCATCATAAGAGCCAGAGATCAATGAAAGAGGAGGCAATTAAAGCCAATGAAAGTTTTCTCTTTGTATTGCATGAGGAGAAATACGAAACCCATTCCATTCATCTTTTATGTGATCTATTCTCAAATTAACATTTCTGGGTGCTTTAAAATTAAAGACCCTTGCTGACTACCTTAAAAAGCAGTATGGGGCCTGGTTCATTACTCCAGCTTGAGTAAAGATAAAAATAATAAAATAGGAAACTGGATGCATGGAAGGGGAATTGCTACAAAATGAATAAGAATTATCTCTCAAATCCATCTGTGAAAATTCCAGAACTTATATGGATATTGGAGCATGGGAGTCGACTTGAAACAGTTTTGTCTGAGAAAGCAAAGCTGTTGCTTAACACAGAGGCCACAGTTCATTTTTCTGCTAATGAACCCAGCCAGAGCTCTTAGATTGTACAGAAAATGTGCCATAGCCAAGCTCTTAGCAATTAATTAACACATAGTGAACTAAATGAAGATTAAGTTGTGGTAGAGTACTTGTAATCTATTATTAACTTATTATGAAATGTTATTAACCTATTATTTAAAAATGAGTTAGTCCAAGTCATTTCCTACATTGTGGTCTGAAGGATATAATTAAAGTCAGGCTAGATCTGATAGCATTCCTTTTTTTTTTTAAAAAAAGGGAAGAAAGGAATTTTGTTTTCTCTCCTAACTGAAAATTCCCAAGGCTTATTGTTTCTGGTATAACTTGACCGAGAGGCCAAAAGGATGCCTCTAAATTTCAGTCTTTCTCTGTCTTTTGGATTTTGTCTCCTCTGTGTTGAATCAGAATTCCTTTCCTTTAGGGAGGATGGAAAGCACTCTAACCAGATGAGCAGCCACCCTCAAAGCAAGGTGATGAAAGGTGGCAATTTGGACCTTAAGAATAATTATTTATTATTAATTAATTAATAATTGTGGTGGTAAGAAACACATAACATAAAATTTACCACCTTAGCCATTTTAAGTGCACAGTAGTGTTAGGTATATTTACATGGCTGTGTAGAGTTCTCTAGAACTTGCTCAGCTTGCAAAACTGAAGCTCTACACCCATCAAACAACTCCCATCCCCCAACCCCACCCAAGCCCTTGGCCACCACAATCTGCTTTCAGGCTCTGAGTCTGACTACTCTAGGTACCTCATGTAAGTGGAACCACACAACATTTGTCTTGTTGGGACCGGCTTAACTCATTCAGCATCATGTCCTCAAGGTTCATCCATGGTGCGGTATGTGTCAGCATCTCCTCTTTTAAGACCAAATCTCTGTATTTTTTATTACTATTTTTAGCATATAAATATGTTCAGTGATTCCAACTCATTATAATAAAAATAACAAAAATAATCATAATTTCCTGTCTTTCCTCAGATAAACCCTCACACTTCTGGTTTTTCTCTTTTTACTCATCATCATCATAATAAAGCTCTACTCCCTACCCCTTGCTCCCTCCTTTACCCTTTAGGATCTGATTCCTACCTCACCACTCCTTTAAAACCATTTTCTTGAACAGTATTAGAATTCTCTTGAATAAACATTAAATATTTGTTTCCAAAAACAGAATCTGCTATAGCAGGATGTACTCATGGGAAATCTACCTCTATTTTTTGGTTTATATTTTCTACCAGACCGGTTCTTTTGCATGTTCTCTTCTTTTCACTACTTTCTTAGAGTTTAGTATTGTTTTTAGTTGTAGAACTCCTGTAGAGCAGATAGAAATTATGCATACTTTAAATAGACAGCTCTGTTCAAATGCCTAATTGCTCTTATACAGTGTAATGGATTCTATTTGACATGTTCCCTACCTTATTTTGAGACAAATTTATTGTGCCTTTCCAGATTTAAGGCTCACTGTTGCTTTTAACTCAGTTTTCTGTTGTCTGGAGGTCTGAAGAGAGTGGAAATAAAGCCAAGCTCAGGCTGAAGTCTAAGCCCAGGAGACATGAATTCTAAAAGTGTTTTGAGATTCTATCAAATGTAACAGGGCCCACTCTGCCCAACAAGGGATACATCCAACTCCCATGAGGCTTGGCTCATCCCCCTTTGCCCGCCCCCCCCCCCCCCCCCCCCCCCCCCCCCCCCCACCCCCCCTACCCCTAGCCCTAACCCTAACCCTAACCCTAACCCTAACCCTAACCCTAACCCTAACCCTAACCCTAACC